ACATCTTTGCGATCATTTTAAGACCTTAATCTTTGTAATCCGTCCTAAAGAATTTGACGTGATGTGGAAATGAATTTGACGCCGCTTCCCTTACATAGCTATGTTTATACGTTCCCGGTCGTGATCTAAGCGTCGCACAAAAATAATGTTCGTACAAGAGTTATGGAGAATCGAATTCTCTTCAACTTTGGCATTTGAATATGCTACGTGTTTGCAACTTTTTAAAAAACTCATATATTAAAAGCATGGAAAATTAAATTGTCTACAAATTTGTATTCAGTCGTTTTTTATGAAAAAATGCAAAATAAGCTTGCTAATCGCAAAAAAATACAAAAAAAACTTAAAATCCAAGATGACAGAATGATCCCAGATGAAATTTAGTGGCAGGCAAGACTGTAGATTCATGGTCTACGTGTGAAATAAAAGTACACTGCATCAAAAGTTCGCCCTAAACGTAGAATATTGTAATTTTACTTGTTTTTGTTATTTTTTGGCCTTTATAACAATTATATTCAACAATTTATATTGAGCTCGAGGTCGTTTTGAATGAAAATTTTTATTGTGGAAAAGCAACAATAATTTGAAAAAATGGTAGAAGTGATAGCTATTTCGGAAATCACCACATTTCCTCATCAGACTTCTTTCAGTAGGATTCGAACCGACGATCCCACTGACTCAGCCAGTTGCCTATGCACCGTGCTAAGTACGCCTTGTAAATTATCGTTTACATTTTTCCAGTATTTTCATTTTTGTTATGCCAACACAATCAAGCGCAGCTATTCCGCTGCAATTCACTTGATCATGTGGTTGTTGGTATTGTTGGTTTTGCTAATAATTCTATTTTTAAAATGTTTAACTTTTAGGTGTGCTCGTCCTTAAGTTATTTGTTTTTGTTATTTTTTGGCCTTCATAACAATTATATTCAACAATTTATATTGAGCTCGAGGCCGTTTTAAATAAAAATTTTTATTGTGGAAAAGCAACAATAATTTGAAAAAATGGTAGAAGTGATAGCTATTTCGGAAATCACCACATTTCCTCATCAGATTTCTTTCAGTAGGATTCGAACCGACGATCCCACTGACTCAGCCAGTTGCCTATGCACCGTGCTAAGTACGCCTTGTAAATTATCGTTTGCTTTTTTCCACTATTTTCATTTTTGTTATGCCAACACAGTCAAGCGCAGCTATTCCGCTGCAATTCACTGGATTATGTGGTTGTTGGTATTGTTGGTTTTTGCTAATAATTCTATTTTTAGAATGTTTAACTTTTAGGTGTGCTCGTCCTTAAGTTATTTGTTTTTGTTATTTTTTGGCCTTTATAACAATTATATTCAACAATTTATATTGAGCTCGAGGCCGTTTTAAATGAAAATTTTTATTGTGGAAAAGCAACAATAATTTGAAAAAATGGTAGAAGTGATAGCTATTCACCACATTTCCTCATCAGACTTCTTTCAGTCCTACAAATTCTTTATGTTACTATAAGGGTACTGTATCAGGGGTAGTACATCTAGGATCAATGAAGAAGGCTTTAAGATCTGTACTTGTTGTGGAACAAATTGGCAAAATTATTTTTTATCTTATATTCGGCTCTCATAAATATGGTCACCGTAACTATATGTATGTATGTATATGTATTTATAAATTTTGCAAATAACAATAAAATATACTAATTTTTTATTTACCAACCCGCATATTCTGGATGAAAATGCCATGTGGTCACCAATATTGCGCCCATTACATTCGTAAGCATGCAAAACATGACACCCCAGTTGGTTAGGTAAATGAAATACAGCCAGAAATTAGTTGATGAACCCTCCTCCTTTTCGAGCATTGAATCTATGACGACGGCGATGAAGAATAGCGCAATAAGCCACCGATAAATTAAATATGCAACACTTTTGGTGCGACTCTGCCACTGTAAGGATAAGAAAATTACATTTTTGTAAAAGAAAATTAAAATAAAAAAAGACATTAGCATTGCAAACGAATACATACAAAGAGTACTTAGAACGGATTGTAGATGTGTAATTTGTTATAAATTTTTAATGACTGTTTAATTAGTAATGCGGTTAAGCGTCAACTGATGGCCACAACCGTAGCCTTTATTCATTACGCTATATATTTTATTCGTAAACAATTGCCATATTTGGTATTGCTTGGATCGTGTGATGAGTGGGTCTTTACTATCTACGAATACACTGTCTTGGCATGAGAAATTCACATCGACACTAAAACAAAATCAACTGGCATCAAGCATTCTCAAGGTGAACAACGCAGCGTTGGATTCCTTGCGTACCTTTAACTACTGGCACACCTCCAAAATGTTGAGGTCATAATGGATACATCTGTGATGGTTTAATATTTTTCAGAACACTTTTAGGGGCCATGCTAATACATACAGGCAGTCAGCCTTTCAAAGTTTGTTTTGTCCAATGACCCTAATAGAGGCAAACAAAGTAGCAATGTCACGTTTAAGCCGATTTCAACTTGTTTTTAACTGTGTACAGCTCGTTGACACGGCAGGCAGGTACTTTTCAAGCACATATTTAAATAAAATATGGCATCAGAAGCAAATATTGACCAACTGTAAGTAGGCTGTGCCTCACTTGTTATTCTTCGCACGCCTAACTATACATACCACTCCTGCAGTTTCGTTGCCTTTTAAACTTGGGATTTTTAACATATGCTCTGCAATCCTACTCGAATAATCAGAACTTCAATAAAAATATGGGACTAACCTTGAAAGTTTCGTTGTATTTAGCCGTATGCAATGGTTGGCGACTTGTTGGGCAAATTACACAACCTTATTGTACCATGGCCTATGAGTAACTTTTGAATAACAGATATGAAATAAAATTTTTCGATGATTGAAAAAGTAATGTCCACTCATTTTCTGTTTACGAGTTGAATAATCTACCGGCGTATAAAAACTTATGGTGTTTTTATTTCTACCGAAAAATGTTACCTTCTCATTGCCCACTACGTATAAATACTAAGAAGAGGGCAATGAGAAGGCAACATTTTTTGTAGTAACGAAATCACGATTAGTTTATTAAAAAAAAACAATTTACATGCATTGCAGATTTTTTACTATTTAAAAAAAATATAAAAATGAGTTGCTGATTTCCTGAATGTCAAAATACCAGAAGCACTTGCAAGGCCTTGAACATGAGGCACATTCGATTTCCAGCACAGCCGTATTTTAAGGCCAGTACGCAGCTATCAAGAAAACGGTCAAGAAAAAAATTGCCATTATTTCGTGTGTGTGTCCAAGGAATTTTGACATCTGATACTTAACCAGCCTTTTGAAACACTCTTTCCTCAATAAATAATGGAACAGGCATATAAAACAACTTTAGAAAACCGTAGTACAAAGCATAGCAAATTTCTTAAGAATTGCGTACGGCCTCAAGAAAATTTTACACAAGAAAATTTTTTGCCATTTCTTGTACGTTATTTTATATGGAGTTTTTGCTTTTCTTCAGAGCTGCATACTGGCCTTAAGGCAACAGCATATGGAGGCATTCTATTTTTCGGTCCACACTACTATTTTTCGGTCCACAAAAAGTATGCATTATTGCATCATATTACGCGGGGTATGTGTATGGGCTTAAAAAATTTGATCACATCTCAACCTGGATTGGCAATTATTTAAGAGAAATATGCTTAGTTTTTGCCTTTCTAATTCAATTCTATTAGAATGTAGAGCAGGGCTGGTCAAAATTTTTATATTGTAGTAAAATCACAATAGGTTTACAAAAGTTATGTGTACACTGGGATTTTTTTTTTGTAATTTAAATTAAGTTAAAAAGTACAAGCTTATTTTTACTGTATGATTATTGAATGAAAATTTTTAACAATGTGAGTATTTCCGTACTTATGTATTAGTGGAATAAAAGAGTGCGTTAAGTAATGATAGCGACCTAGTTGCGGAAAAGTTCCAAAATTTGGTGGGAGGATTTCTTGCGCATATAAATGTATATCATATTGCTAGCTAAAATTTTACATTTTCATTCGTATCTTTGGAATGATCCTTGCTTATAAAAGTCCCACTTTAATGCGTTAATAAATGATAGCACCATTGAAGCAATATGCAATAACATTTAATAAGGGCACCTTAAATCAAGTGTGAAAAGGAGATTGGAATTTCTCCATCCTTATTTAAAATCTTTTTTTTTTGGCAGCATGCGCGAGTTTTGCGGGACATTTGTTGACATTTTCTCTCAGAGTCGGGAAATTTCTCTTTTCTGCTATCCGACGTTAGAAGAACTTTACGCGATGCTCCCAAGGATTTACATTGAATTCAGATTGAAATCAATCATTTTTTATATCCCCTTATATGTAACACTCGCGAATCCTTGTTATTTAATAAAAATTTTCATAACAATAATATTAGTCTGCGAAATTCGAGCGTTACATATATGTAACACTAGCGTTTAAAGAGTTAATTATAACTGAATGAGCGTGTGATTTGTTGTTGCTACCCTGCAGTACGGGGGAGTGACTACAGGACTGCTGAATCGGTAGCAACCTGATAAACACCGTCAATTAACGACCGACTAATTGCAGTGTATTTCATCGACTACTTTTACAAGGCAATGTCCTAGGCGGTAGTCACCATCGGCTCTCTCTGCATTACCGGGAGTTACTAAAGTAGTCACTTGCAGTTTGACCGTTTTGATCCAAATGGATCAAAAGTGATACCTTTTTGGATGAATTTCGGAGAGATACTTTTTATTTAGTTTTGATACTTTTCCAAATACAAAAGAAAAAAATCTGTTACAAAAGAAAAAAATGTGTATGCATTACAAAACATGTTGTGCACCTGTGGCAACATATATCCAAAACTTCATTGTCGTTCACTGAACGTACCTTTCATGTATTGTGATTCATGGTCCATGACGAAAAACGTCAAAAAGGGAATAAACCAACAGTATCATAGCGTTGCATTTTTTTATTTTCGCTATGTTCAATAACAAAAATTAGGGCTTGGTAACTCGGTGCTCGGTAAGGCCCTGTTTCTACAGGAAAACACCAATGTCGTGATAACCATGTCACAAAATATATTTCCAATGCATACCGCCTATTTCTCATGGGCTGCAATATATGTCAGCGCTTATTGCTTGACATCTATTGCAGGCAATTTGATAGTTTGACAGCCATATTTTCACACAGAAGAAAGCGTGCTGGTGGCACCATCGATGAAATATTAATATTAAGTCAAAATAAGAATCTCTTCCCTATTGGATTATTTATGATTTCGATTTAGGAAGTCATTCAGCAAGCTTTTTAAGATTTAAATATTTTTAACCACGGAAATTGAGATGCTTATACATATTAAGATATCAAAATGCCCACACACAAAAACTTGCAATCATGCTGCTTGTCAAAATGACAGTTGGTAAGCCATCGGTGTTTGCATGTGGAGTTTTGCGGTAAATTTCCCCATGTATTTTGTTTGTGTAAAATTATTTTAGTATCGGTTTACCGGTTACGGAATTATCGTGGTGGAAGCTTGATAACTTCTCTGGTAGTTGGTAAACTGCAATCAGCTGTACGATATTCACCCAATTTTGAATTCGCCCGCTGCCGAAAGGCATAACGCATTTGAGTAAATAAAATTCCTTAAATTTTTTAGGAAAAAAGCTACGAATCAGCGGTTGATAAGCATAATTTACCAGACTAAAGGTGTGGTTAAACGTGGGAATGCTAGCTCTTTTTCTACGCATTTTGCTGTCAAAATGCAAAATCGAAAGTCTACTTTCCCGTGTAAACAGTCAGAAAGCCCTTTTTGCAGATTTGCAGAAATCACTTTTGGCAATAAAAATTGCAAGGTGTAACTGCAACTGAAATTACGCAAATCGCTTTCGGGAAATAATTTCAACTTGCTCGTGCAATAAATGTTAAATTGTTTTGGAAAATGGTTTTTCATAAAAATTATTGGTTTTATTCCATATTGATGTTTGATACTTAAATGAAAAGAAGTGATACATATTGATACATTTTAAGTCTCTTTTCTGCTACAATTTTTTACAAGCCCGCGGTCACACTAGCCACTTGCGTGATTTATGGGCGCCCTCTGTCGTAGTTTTCCGCTATTCTACTTCTGACTGGTTCCATAGTAGAGTAGCTACTTACCTTGGAGTCGGTGCAGTAGCGGTTCAAAAGTAGCGATTGACTCCAGCAGTACTGGAGGGTAGCGGTACAACAAATACACATACACCCTGTAGGGAAACCCCGAACTGGTGAACCAAATTTGTAGTCCCGTACTAGATCTTTATCGTCAAAAACGAACCAGTCCGAACCAGCGGTATGTGGTACTTTTAAAAAACAATCTTAGAAATCTATATCTAAAATGACGAATTTAGAACTGGTTCAAAACTATAGAAAAAGGGATGCAGAACGAACTAGAACTCATCTGGAAATTTTGAACTAGTTCCAAACTACTGAAAAAGGGATGCAGCGGGTGCTTGTTTACTTTAAATAGATTTTTGCTTGGCGGGTTTTTCGTTCAAATACGCTTCCAGTCTGCACGTCGCAGATGCTTTTTCATAGTTTGGTAATACAAAACTAATATTTAATAGTATAGCCAAAGGTATGTAAACGTGTTTTCAAATGCACAAATCATTTACATTCATTCAAATAAATTTGATTTCAGATTGAAAATAAATTTCTCTGCAAATAATAAAAATTGCTACCATGGTAACCCAAAACCCATCTTGTTACTTTTTTCGTTTACAACTGGTTCGAAACTATAGAAAATGGGGTGCAAAACGAACTAGATCCCATATGTCGAATTTAGGACTGGTTCTGAACTATAGAAAAGGTAATGCAACGGGGGACAATTTCCAATTCCTATGACATCGCTGTGTTAAATTCGCCAGTTGTTTGCATGCAAAAGAAATTTATCGCGAA